TATTTTTAATTGTTTGTGGGTTTTGTTTTAATTATGAGCCGCCCAGAGTCACCCGTTGGGGGAGATGGGCAGCATACAAATTTAACAAACAAACAAATTTTCAAAATCAAAGAAATCTCTCAAAATGTTTCACCTCTTTTTGGGCTTAATGTCAGCCCTTCTCTGAGGACCAATTGCTCCACCCCATCAAGCTTTGCAACAGCCACTCTCAGCAGCCTGAAGATCCAAGAAACAAGCTGCAGAGAGAACAAGTACCACTCTGGGGGGGCCGTTCCTACCAGCAGCCATAACCCTGAAGGGCCCTGATGGTCTTTCTTATAGAACCACTGACAGCTTTCTCACAGAGTCTCAGAATTTGTCAGTGAATGGCATGGATAATAAGTCTGTTGTGCTGGGTGCTAAAAGAAGATGCTTTGCACAGCTGACTTTGTGATGAACACACTGGGTCCCACAAGAGCCTATCAGCCAATGAGATGTTTCAGCATGGTACCGTAAGGCAAAAAGCAGCAGGAGAAGCTGAAATGCCTATGCAGTGTGGCACAATTTGCTAGGGCCCCTGATTTTTGCAGACTGCTCACTCCCCATCCCATAAGAGTCCCTGTGAGCTGGGCTTCCCATCTGCCTTCTGGGCTAGGTGGGATTCATGAGGAAGTTGGAGGTGGGGGTGCAGCGATGCATGCTGCAGAGGTGGCTGCTACCCAGCCAAGAGGCAGCCACCTCTGCATCTCTCCAAATCCAGCATCTTCCTGCTTAACAAGGTAATGTGCCATGGTCTCTTGGGTTGAGTTGGAAATAGGGAGGACGACTGGAAGGAATAATCCAGAGTCTGGGCCTGGGTGGTGGAACTGCAAACCAAAACACCGAGAACTTAATACAAAAGAGGCAGAGTGGGCTGGGCCCTGAGGTAACTGGCAAACTCAGGCAGGCAGATGGCCTTGGCTACCGGTGTGGCTCACGGCTTCTTTAGCAGCAGAATCCCCAAGCACATGCTCTGCCTTTCCAGTTGGCTAGCCAGGACAACACCCAAGGCTTAGGTATTGTTGAATAAAGTCATTTGTGGGAAGAGCTCCCCATATAGCAAACAGTTTAGCTGTACAAACCACTGAAACTGCTAAATTCTTTGTCTGCCACTCACGCTCTAGCTCCTGGCATTATTGTCCTCCCACAATTCTGGAACATCTAGCCTCCCTGCCACTGATGCCCCCTCCAGATGTGTTGAATTACAACTCCCTTCACTCCCAGCCACCGCCATGCAGGATGGGGACAAAGGGAGTTGTAGCCCAACATGACCAAAGGGCTGAAAGTCAGAATTGTTGTTTTTGCACCACCCCCTCCTTCTTCCTATCAGATTGTGCCAGGATAGCAACAAAGCTAACTGCTTCCTTCTCTCCATCCCCCCAACCCTGAAGGCAACAGTACAGAGACTTTGCCTGAATATCTGAGCTTTCCACTTAGATTCACTTGTCTCACATCTGCTCCTCTCTCAAGAGAATAAGGAGGTATAATGCCTCCTATTCTTGTCGGTCTTCCTCAAATCTCGCTGTTCATTCCAAGCAGGAAGTTCACCCCTGCCAAAAATCCCACCTGGTTTAAGAACCAGCTTCTGAGGCAAGTGGGCTAGAGGGCTGGCCAGCAAAGGGCGTGGGAGACTGGCAGAAAAGAGAAGAGGCTGTAGGGGGATGGGTACCCGAGGAAATCGGGAAGGGGAGAATTAAGGGACATTTCTGAGTCTAACGCTTTAGCCCAGCCAGAGCAGGACTCAGAAAAGAAAAACATCATCACTTCCGGGGAGGGGAGGGGAGGGGGGAACCCGCTGGTAGGTCCAAGTACCTGAAAATGTATTTCTCTGACTAACGGGAAAGGCTTTTCCCCATTTCCCGTTATGTGGAGATTCTTTGCGGTCATTCAGTGGACTTTCAGTAATTGGTACTTTATTTTATCCCTATCTAGGTGGAACTCCGGCCTGGAAGTCGGATGCCCAAGTTGGTTGAGTTCCGGGGATCCCAGACGAACACGAAGGCTGAGAAAATGCGGCGGGGATGGGGGCGGAG